CAAAAATTAGTTTACTAATTATCATAAATATATAATAAACAATATTTTTATGTTTAAAAATTATAAAAAAAATAATTGAAAATTTCTAAAGTAGATTCAATCTTAATACTTCTATTCTTAAAAATTGGGAGAAAAGTATATACAAAAATTAATTAAAATAAAAATTAAAAAAAAATAATAATATATTAGATAATAAAATATATTTATACGAATATATATTTAAAAATATAAATGAATATAAATGTATATATATTAATATATGAATTAATATATATATATATATATTTATTTATTTATTTATTTATTTTTATTTTTTTTTATTATATTTTTTTCATAAATAATAATATATATTTTTATTTTTAAATCAATTTTTTTTTATATTATATTTTATAATTAATTATAAATAACATTACTTTAAAAAATAAAAAATTACATACTTAATTAATTCTTTTATATATTTTTGAATTAATTATTTTTTTTATGTATAAAAAATTTAATAATATTATAATATTTATAATTTAATAACTATTATTTATATTTATTAATTAACAATTTATAAATTTCATTTTATATGTTTTTTTAATTTTTTTTATTAATATTTTTTATTTTATATTTCTTATTTATTTTTATTTTTTAATTTTTTAATATTATAATTTTAAATATCATATATATTAATTTTACAATTATTTTTTTTATATTATATTTAATTATCACATTTTTCTCTTTTTTTTAATAAATATATATTATTTAATAAATAATATAAATATTTCTTTTATACAAAAAATCTTAAAATAAATATATTTATAAATTAAATCTTTTACAAATTTATAAAAATTAAAAGACTAAATTTTTACTCTTATTTACAATATATTTTCTTAATATTTAAATTTATTTTTTTATTTTGTACATATTTACTTTTAAGTATTTTTTAATCTTATACAAATGTTACAGACGATAATGTCCATTATTTTTTATTAAAATTTATTTCTTATAATTTTTTAATTTATTAATTAATTAATTATAATTGATTTTAGGATTTTTAAATAAGAAACAAAAGTGGAATAATAGAATTCATTTATAAATTTTTTAAAACGTTAATTTTTAACAAATGCTATTTATAATTTCACATGAATTAAATCATTTTATAACTATCATACTAATTTTTTTCTTTATATTTTAAAAAAATTATATGAATACTTTAATTGCTTTTTCATCTTGAAGAAAAAAAATCGAACTTTAAATAATTTTTAAATGCAAAAAGTTAATGCTATAAAGCTATTTTTTTAATTCCAACATTTTAAAAAGTTAATTATTTTCATATTATCTAATAAAAATATAAAAGTATTTATTTTTATTCTTATAATATTTATATAGTTTAATCTGTTAAACTTAGAAATTTTATTGGAGCTTTAAACTTTTTTATATATTTATTTTATCTATTTTATCGTTAAAGTTTTTCAATATTTTTTTTATTAATTTAATATTTATTATCATATTTCAATCCTTATTATGCTATCAATAAAAAAACATTTTTAGTATTTCTCTTAATTGCTTATTATAATAATAAGAATTAAAATATCATTATTTATTTTAAAAAAAACATAATAAAAATAATATTAATCAAAATTAAAAGTTAAAATAATAAAATTTAATAAAAATATATATATAAATAATTATTTTAAAATAACTCTATTTAAAACTATCATATATAATTAATAATAATAAGTTTGGTCTAATTTTTTTCAATTTTCTTCGTTTTCATCGTCATCTTCGTCATCATCATCATCATCATCGTCATCATCATATTCGTTAGCATCAAAGTCTTCATCTTCCTCTTCGTCATCATCTAAAGGTAAACCGGCTTGACCTTTTACAGCTTTACTAGCTCTTTTAGCACTTTTTCTTTGTACCTTTCCCTGTAAAAAAATAGAATTTCATTTTTAAATAATAAAAATTACTTCCCCTTCTTCTTCATGTGATTCTGATTCTGAAATATCCTCATCATCAAAAGCATTAGATTATCCATTTTCATCACATATAATTTAAATATTTTTAGATTTAAAGTATTCCAATAATTTATCCAACTCTTTTCTTTCAAAACCAATAAAATGTGCATTTGAAGATTTTGTAAATACTTTTATATCAAAAAGTTTATTTAAACTAGCATTTCCTACCTTTATATAAATTTATATTTTATATTAATATATAATTTTATTTACTCTTTCAAATTCGACTTTTGTTATATCAGTTAATGTCACATGAATTACTGGTTTATATATAAAAATCAAACTTTTTTTCATTGGAAAAAGCATTCCTTAATGAGTTTTTAAAGTACACTTTACACAGCATTAACCATCAGAGCTTTATTTTAAAAATATATTTGTTTAATTTGTTTATTTAAATATCATATGAAATAAATTACCTTTAAAAGCCTCCGGGCATAATAACTGGAATTTAACACAATTACTTAAAAATTTATCCAACTATTTCATATAATGGTCCCTCATATTATTCTTCTAATTCCTTAAGATTGCTTTGCTTTTTCAATTCTGGGTCTAAATTCACTTTTACTTATTATTATATATCTTTTCTAAATTGCATTACAATCGATGAATGAACTGTATTTCCGTATTTTAGAGGTTATTCTAGTCCTAAAACGAAAGCTATATTTACCTAAAATAATAGGACTAGATTAATAATATCTCATATTTTTATTTATATACCTCATCTGGTAAAGGAAGTAAAAAGGCTTTAATTATATTTTTATATTCAACAATATAATTGTATGAAGAACCATGAAATTTAGCTGAATTTTAAAACATATCTAATGAATATTTTCCTCTATTTTATGAAACATTTAATTAAAATAAATAATAAAATAATACCTAGGTACTAATAAAGGAAGATCTTCAAATTTAACAATAGAAGCACCAGAATATTATCCTATTTTAGCTTTTGATATTATTTCAGAATTTAACTAATCTGCTCTAGAAGCTTTTTGATTTTCAGCTTCGTTTTATTCGTTTTCTTATTCTTTAGATTACTTTTTTATATTTTAAACCATATAAAAATATAATTAATATTTACATTTTCTTATTGGAAAGGCACATATAATCTCATTTCACAAAGAACATCTTCACTATTAATAATTATTATTAAATACAAAATAAAATATTTTTTTATACTCTTCTTTAATATCTAATGTATTTAAATCAATAACAATATCATTTTTATTTACTGTAGAGTTTTATATTTTGTTTAAAGGAAGTTTGCATAATCTTTTTTATTTATAATTTAAGACCATATTGTCTTCGTCAAATTAGAGATTGCACCAATTAATACCTTTTAAGCATCTGCTGGAGTCAGTCATTTTTTAATTTCAAGATTTTATTTTTAAAATTTTAATATTATTTTTATATTAATATATATAAAATTTAAAAAAATATAGACTTATTTATAAATATACTCTTAACTTCGCGCGCATAAGATAATTAATTTAATTATTATATTATTTCTAGTGGAAAATATTTTAGTTAAATAGAACGAAGAAATAAATAGAAATATATTTTAAATTAGTGAAAAAATCAAATTAAAGAAATTATTACAATACATTTATTAAGATAATTTTAAAAAAACACACAAATTTTTTTTAATTTTTTATTTCGAAATTTATCAATAGATCTTTAAATAGAAAAAAATATATAAAATGATAAATATTTTAGTATTGTTTATTTGTTAACTATAATTAATTTTTTAAATAATATTTTTTTAATTTATATATATATCCAATAAAAATAAAATATCAACTTATTATTTTAATTAAATAAAATACAAATTTGTTAATATTTTATAAATATAAAAAATTATAATTGTTTACAAAGTTATTTAAAATATATATTTATTCAATATTTACTAAAATATCTATTTTTTTAATTATTTTATTATATTTTTATTTTACTTTTATTTTTACCAAAAAAAGACTATTTAAAAAACTAAAGAAAAATTAAAAATCATCCAAACAAGAAATATTAAATTTATTTTATTTACGACAATATTAAACTTTTTATATGTTTTATTAAACATTTTATATTTTACAATTAATTATTATCAAATAATTTTATTTTTTAATAATTTAACTTTAATTAATATTTATATTAATTAAAAAAAAAATATATTTTAATATTATTTTTTTAAAAAAATATATTTAATTTTCAATTTAAATAATAAAATATTAACTCTAGGCATAGCAAATAGTTTCTTATTCTAAAATTGTAATCATTATTAGGAAAATTAATAGAAACATAAACAAGAGATTAAATTTTAATTGAAATAAACAAAAATATAAAATAAAATATATTATTTAATGAATATTTACATATATGGATTTAATGTTTTGCTTTGAAAAAATTATAATTCGATAGTGAAATTTTATTAATAGGATATTACTTAAGTCTACAAAGAAAATCTAATAAATAATTATAAAAAGCAACTATATTTAATAAAAATATGTTTTAGTTTATATATGAAATTTTAAAAAAGTATTTTATTTAAATAAATAAATTAAAATATATGCAAGTTTTGTAGGAAAAAATTGGTCATAAATATGCATTAATTGTATGAGAAATTAGTCTATTGAAGATAAATAAATGATTTTGTATATTCCTTTGAAAATATTTTAAATGTAGGAGGAGATAAAATTGTCGAAGTAAATGCTACCTATGTTTTATAATTTTATTAAAAAAGCTAAAACAAAATAATAAATATTTTCTTTTTTCAATTACAAAATCTTTTATATCATAATTATTTATATTATAGTAAAATATTATTTATTTATGTATTATAATTAACATTTTCAAAAAAATGGTAAAATGAATGTCCATAATTAATTAATTAATTGTTAAAAATTATTTTAGAAAGTGTTAAAATTAGATAATTATAAAATTATCTATTAAAATATTTACAATACATTCATGTGTATTTTTATTATTTTATATTATTTATTAAATATATAAATCAAAAAAAAATTGATATATTTAAATTTAATTAAATTTTTAAATATTATAAAATAAAAATATTTTTATTTGATTTAAAAAAATTTGTAAATAAAAATCTTAATGATTTTTTAATATTATAAATTGCATAAAAAAATATTAATCTAATTTAATAAACTTAATTTTACTAAGTATTTAAATATAAAATTATGAATATATTAATTTATAAAATATTATATTTAGGCTTAAATTTTTTAATATTTTTAAATATTTTTCATAAAAAATATTTAGATACTAAAAATATAATAATTGAAATGATTAAATTGTATTAAATAATATAAAATTAAATATTTTTTTTAATTAAGAATAAATACATCCAATTATTAGATCAATAACTAAATATAAGATTATTTAAGTTTAATTAAATGTTAAAAATTAATAAATCACTTGTGAATAAATTATTAATTAATAATAGAGGTATGTATTAGATAAATATTCAGATTAAAGTCGAAATTTCATTGATAATACTTTTAGTCCGAATAAAATTTGGCCAAAGAAGTGGATTTTCAACCGAAAATTCAAATATTCAAAGTAAATTGCTATTTTGAACAAAATTCCATTTAAATTTAAAATTAATTGTTATAACATTAAATAAAAAAAATTTCGATGAAATTAAAATATGTTATCTTAAAATTTTTATTCCATCAAAAAAACATTTTATTACATTTTAAATTTTAAAAAGTATTTTTAAGTTTACAATTCTTTATTTTTGAGACTTAAAATATTCTAATATAATGGTGATTATTTTTTATCGTACTTTTTTATAAAAACTCAATCAACAAAAAAAAAGGATTTTATCTATTTTTCTCATCTTTTTATTAGTTGAATGAATTTTTTAAAAAAATACAGAAAAAATAAAAATATAAAAAAATAATATATTTAAAATATGTATATGTAATTCTTTATTAATTTAAAAATTATATTTTTTATAGGGAGAAGAAGAATAAATAAATAACAAATTTATATCATTTTCATAAGTTGATATTCGGTCTAAAGGTTAAATGATTGCGATTTTTTAAAAAATAAATATTTAATATTAATTAAAATTTTATTTTATTTATATAAATGAATTTAATATTAACAAAAATTAAAAATTTGTTTAAATGTTCATTTTCGAATTTTTTGTTAATATTTGCTTAATGTAACTGTGTTTTCTAATGAATTAAATTTACTTGTGTTACCGATTTTATTGAATTTAAGCCCAAAAAACTTGGTAACAGGTAAATTTTATTAAAAAGTAAATCTAATATTTGTAATTTTATATGTTTTTGTTGATTTCTATTAAAAAAATATGTGCTTATTAATTTAAAATATTAATTCTTTTTTTATCAAAATTAAAATATTATTTCTTTTTTTATAAACAGTTAATAGTATTTCATTTTCTTTTTAATTATCTAATTAATTATTTTTTAAGTAATATAAGAGTTTTAGTCAGAGTTTCCATTTATTATTAAATAATTTTTAATTTATTTTTCATTTATTAAAATTAATGTTTTGTTAAATTAATATAAAATCAAATAATTTATTTTAAAATCAAGAATGATGATTAAATAATAATTAATTACAAAAAGAATTAATTTTTTTTTTAATTAATATATATAATAAATAAATTATGATATATATGAAATAAGTAAATAAAATCAATTAATAGATAATGGAAAATTAGGTAAATTGATTTGATAATCGAAAAAGATAGGTATATTAAATAAATTTAGATAGACTTTTCAAACATAAAAATCAGAAATTTGAATTTCTTAGAAGTCTAATTTCAATTTCTATCAATGAATAAAATTTATATAATCAAAGAAATAAAGAAAATTATAATTAAGGTTAATTATATATTAAATAATGCAAAAAATATATTTTTATATCTAAATCTTAAACTAATATGAAGAAAGATAAGTAAAAAAAATACTTTATTATAAAAAATAAAAAAATATAAGATATTAATTAATGAGATAAAATCAGGAACAAAATTTAAGGAAATAATTTAGATTTTTTTTAAATTAAAAAATAAATAGTAATTTAAATATAAATATTTAAATTGTTATGAAAATTAATAAAAGCAATTTTAAATTAATACTAATTATTAATATTTTGCATTTGGAAATTCTAAATGTGAAAATTTAGAATTAAAAAATGTATATAAAACAAATAATTTCTAAAATAATAATGATAATATAATAGTTTTGATAATTAATTATTTGAAACATGGTAAAGATTTTTAAATTTAATAGATTTAAGTTTTGTAAACGAAGTCTTTTATTTACAATATAACTTCAAAAACAAAAATATTTAATTCACTAAAATAAAGTTTAAATATGAAAGTTATTATATAACTTTTACTATAGAGGCTAAATCATTGATTGTAAGAAGAAAAACAAATTTTCCAAACATGATTTTCATGATATAATTATTCTAATTTTATGCATTATATTGAAAATTAAAATACTTGCACCAATTAAGTTTTTTTAATTATTTAATAAATTTGTTTTTCTAAATGTATAAAATTCATATTTAAATTTAAATTTAAATAATAGATTAATACAAATACAATATTAATATTAATCCAAATAATAATCTTAACCCTAATTCGCACATCTATATATATTTTTTTATACGTATATATAATTATTTGGCAAATTATCAATAATTAGCTCTAGTTATGAATACATTCTCTACTCAATTCTTCTTTAACCCTAAATTTTTTTAATAAATAAACAAGATTTAGATTTTAAATATAAAAAATATTTTTTAAACAATATTTTCATTTTTTTTGTTAAATTTATTTTTTTAAAAATAATTTTGTCTATTTTTTTTACTTTTTTAATTTATTTATTTTTAAAATTTAAACATTATATATTTTTAAAGAATTTTTACTTTATACATTAAAATTTGAAATTTAGTTTCAAGAGAAATATAATGTTATTTTAGTTATTTTCATAAAACCTTTTTTGTTTTGTATTATAGCTTATAATTTATTTTAAATTTTTTATTATGATATAATTATTTTTAAATATTATTATAAATAATTAAAAAATAAAAATGAAAAAAAATATTAATTATAAATCGTGCAATAGTTAAAATACTTAATAAAAGAGTTTTATTTAATTTTTTTTCTTGAAAAATTAAAAATTATTTAATATAAAAATAAAAAATTTATAAATAGAAAATAATACACATAATTTGTCAGGAAGTTTCATCTTTTTATTTAATTACTCTAATTAAATATAAACACTTCAATAAATTGATGTGATTAGATCAAATTATACTATTAATATAAAAAAATTATATTTAAGTTAAGTATTAAGGCATATATTATAAATTTAGATGTAAAATAAATAATAATATATTTTTATTTTTGTACAATTTATTATATAAAGAAAATATTTGGAATTATAAATAAAAAAAAAGTATAAAATTATATATATAATGAAATACATTTTATTTTTAAATTAAAAAATTAAATTAAACTTAAAAATAATATGGACACAATAATAAAAAAATAAAAGAAATTGAGTTAAGCTGTTAATATTAAATCTTGTATTTGATTTAAAAAAAAAAAAAAAAATAAATATATTAAAAATAAAAAAAATAAAAAACAATATAATTATATGAAAAAAAAAAAATTATTCAAAATAAAAACATCTATAAATATAGTATATAATAAAAAATAAAATAATTTTATATATATTATTAATTAATATAATAAATTCATTGTATTAATAAAAATAAAATGAAAAAAATAAAAATATATAATAAAAAAATAACACTTTTAATATTATATATTTCTTTTTTAAAAATAATAAATAAATAAATAAATAAATAAATAAATAAATAAATAATTTTACAAATAATCATTTAATAATTTTAATCAGTAATTTATATGATATTTATATAAATAATATTTAAAATTTAATTTTTAAAACAAATTTTTAATTAGTTTCTTATTTTAAAAATAAAATTTTATGTAACTTTCTTATAATTACTAAGAACTCCCTAATTCTAGAAATCTTTATGATAAACTTTAATTTTATTAAAATCATTTAGGCTCTCTGTTAAATATGAAAGCATTTGTTAATTCTTTTTTAGATATAATAGAAAGGAAAGAATGTTTAGCATTAATTAATTAATGGCTTTAAATAATAATTTAAACAAAATAACAATTTAATCAAATATTCGAAATGATTAATAATCCTTTAAATCAAAATATATAAATTTATAATGAGTATATTAAAAAATTAGGAGTAAATAACTTTAATATAGCATATTTTGAATATAATAATAAAAAAATACTTGACTTATTAATCTAAACTGATACATAGCTTATATATATTAAAAATAAATAAAGCTTTGAAAAAGTATGGAAATATTTACATATAACATTCAATTATTTTAAATTGAATCTATCTATAGATATGTACTATAATATACTATAAACTTCTAAAGATGATTTAATCTTAAGAAGCACCATTTAAAATGATAAAGATTGGTAATTAATTCGCTAAAGACTCTAGTACATAAATATTAATATTGATAGAGAGTAATTTTAAAAAAAGCTTAAGAATTTTTAAGCTTAAAATGATATGATGAACTGTACAGTATAAAAAACTCATCATTTAAAAAATTGTAATGGGATAAGAAAAAATATTACTGAGTTATTTTATATTTCTTATTATTTTCTTTTCCCTTAAAAAAGTGAATTAGAAACCCTTTATTATTAAGTAAACCCTGATCCAAATGTTGTAATTCAGACTTGGAATGTCTTAAATAAAACTTATATATTAAGAAAATTTATAAAAAATGTGATTCCTTATGTTAAGTAGCATTTAAAAATATATGTTCCTACCAATATATATAAATCATTAATCACTTTGGATGATATTTATAATAAATTAAAAAATAATACTATTTATGACAATTTAAAGATTGATTAAAATAATTTACCTGAAAGAGTTTTACAAGAGTTTCAAATTTTAGAGTAAAAAACAAAAGATAGAAACTACATAAGATTAAGAGTTCTAACTAATATACCTTTTATAAAAAAAGGATAGCTTAATCCTAAAAAAAAAGTTAATATTATAGATACAGTTGTTTTTCATATTCCAGGAGGCGGTTGGGTTGGATTAGAATCTTTTTCGCATTAAATGTATACTAGAAAATGGGTTAGTCAGTTAAAAAGTATTCCCATTATTTCTATTGATTATCGTAAATCCCCTGAATTTTAATATCCTATACCTCTGAATGATTGTTGGTAAATGTACTAATTCTTATTAGATGGAATTGGTGATTTTTATGAAAACGTTAATATTAAAAAAATTATTCTTGTCGGAGATTCTGCTGGTGGAAATATGGCGATAGGAATTACCCTCAAAGCTTTACAAGAAGGTATTATAAGACCCGAAGGATTAGTTCTAAGTTATCCAGCTTTAAATTTAGACATGGATTTTTATACTCCTTCCTTTTCAAATATATATAAAGATATTATTGTACCTTATTCATTTCTTAAGGTTTGTTTGGATAGTTATATTGATAGAAAAAATAAGCTTCTAGACATTTTAAATGATCCTTTTATTTCTCCTATCTGTATTCCAAGTAATATACTTAAAAATTTTCCTCCCATAAGAATAGGATGTGGAGATAATGATATTTTGAGAGATGATTGCTTTAGGTTCTTTAATAAATTAGTGTAAGAAAACTGCAATGCTAAGATGATAATTTATAATGACCTTTCTCATGGATATTTAAATCTAGATATGCCTTTAGTACTACCTGATACTTATAAATGTGGATATGATTGTGGATTATTTATTTAACAAATTTTAGAAGGAGAAAAATTAAATGATGTACACTATTGACTTTGATTATGTTTATTATATATATTTTATACACATTTTTAAATTTTTTTTTTATTTAATTCATTAATATTTATAATATATAATATTATCAAAAAATGCTTTTTTATAAAATTTATCAGGTAGTTTTATTCTTTACTAAATTATTGTTTTATCTATATTAATATTTTATATGCATATGATTATACCGCTTTTCCAAATGTAAAGTTCTTTATTTTATCCTATATGTTTAAAGAAATTATTTTATTATACACTTTTAGTTTAAATTATTATTTTTTTTATGAAATTTATTTATTTTTCTACTTCTTAATTATCATGTAAAATATTATTTGGTTTTACTATTAATTAAAGTATTTTTTAATTATTTGTTTTTCCAGCAACTTCATATATTAACCAATTATATTAAAAAAGATTATCTTTTTGCTAAAGAAGAAACGCTTCACATTTCCTTACATATTCATCATATGTAAAATTATGAATATCAAGCAATGAATAAACATTAATAACTTTTTCTAAATCTAACTTTTAAAAATCTTATTTTAAGAAAAATATGTTAAATAACTTATGAATTTCGCTAGTCTGTAAAGGACATATTTACAGAAATCTTAATATATATTCAGCAAAAAGTTAAGAAATTAAAGATTTTTGTTAAATTTAAGAATATTTTATTATTTAATTACTCAAATAGTTAAAATTTTCTTATATTCTCTTTTATATATCATCTGGAAAATATTGATTAAAATATTTTAAAAAATAAAGTTCTTCTAGAGTTTAAAAAGTTAAAATATTAAAATCATCTATTCCTTTAGTATTTTTTTATAAAATTTCTTCGACTATTTATAAAATAAATTCAATATCAAATGAATCAAATTTAATTAAAAATTAAAAGAATTATTATAAATCTGTAATACATACTTTTTAATTGCTTTAAAAAAAATTGAATTTGTACATAAAATTTATTTAAATTATATCTCTCTCTACATCAAACATAAATAAATTTAACCCCAAACTATCTAAATGAATATGATTCTTTTTTATAACTTTCATATTTTTACTTAATTAAAATAAAAATTTGCCTAATGAATAACTTATTTCTTTATTTTCAATATGAATTAATATTCTTTATATTTCTTTATTGAATATGTTTGGAATATTTTAAAATTATGGATTTATACTTAAAATTAAAAATAATATAAATAACTAATTTTATGTAATCGTTTCTTTATTTAACTTTTTATAAATGTTAATAAACTAATCATATTCTTAAATTTCTTAGTCAGAAGCTATATTTATAAGGATGCTTAAATCTTCATTTTAAAAAATAGTTACTTATTTCTAGTTATTTTTTTAATTTAAATATTCAGCAGATTTTTTAATTTTTTCAATATATAACTTTTAATTATAATTTAGTTTATTAATTTTTTTATCTTCATAATTATAATAATTTTCTTTTTATAGGTATTCGTATTCTTTAATTTTTTTAAAAAGTGATTTTTAAAATAAAGTTGCTTATTCTTTTTTTAAATTAAAAAGAAGCATATATTTAAAGAAAATATGTAATTACTTAAAATTATGCATTTAATATATATCATTTTAATATTAAATAATTTAATCATTATTTAAATAAATGTCTTAATTAAATTTATAATTTCTATTTAATATTTATTTTTCAAGTAATTAAATATCTGTATTGTAATTTTATTTAGATAAGAAAGATAATTTATATTTGATTGCTTTTTAAGACAATTTAAATAGAAATTATATATTCATTTATATTATTAAATATATATTTTAATATTTTGCAATAATTTTAATTTTTATATTTTATTTTATTCTTTAATTTAATAAAAATAAAATTAAATCTATTAATTCTTATATTTATACCATTTTACAAAGAATTTTTAAAAATATTAAATAAAATTTATTTTTGAAAAATATTTTAAAAAAATACAATTAAAAAAATATTAAAACCAGTGTAATAAAACTTTTTATTAATAATAAATATAAATTTTAATTATTAATTCTTGTTTATATTTATAATTATATTTTTATAAATTTTTTAATTTTTTTATATTTTTTATTTAATATATTTATATTATTTTTATAATTTATATATAAATTTTTATGAAAAATATCTTATTATTTTTTTCTAATTAAAATATAATTTATTTTATAATTATTAATTATATATTTATTTTTTATTTTTAAAAAAAATAATTTTTAATATTATTATATAAAATTAATAGTTTTTAAATAAATATAAATAATATATATTATTATTATTTAACAAAAATATTATATAAATTTATCAATTATTTATAATAAATATAATAAAATTTAATTATTTCTTAAACTTTAATAATCTTAATTTTTTTGATTTTTTTTTTTTTAATTAAAATTAATATTTTTTTTATAATAAATACAAATTAAATATTTATATTATTATAATATATTAAAATATATATATATTTATTTATAAAAATTTATTTATATTATATATTAATTAATATTTTTTATTAATTTTATAAAAAGTATTATATTTTAAAATAAATATATTTATTTTTAAAATAAATTTTAAAAGCATATATATTTTTTATACAAATATAAAATAACTAGATTACTTTTTATTTGTAATACTAATTTATAAAATAAAAATATATATAAATTTATAAATATATATATATAAAAAAAAAAAAAAAACTTATAATATTTATTTTTCTTTAATATTATATTTATTATATGTTTATATTTTATTCTAATTTTTAATTTATAATATAATATTTTTATTTATTTTTATATACATATATTTATTATAAAAATAATTTAAAATTATAAAATATTCTTATTAATTAATTTTAAATAAATAAATTATTGTAATATGTTTTCATTGAAAAAACTAATTTTATATTTTTTATTAAAATATATTGATTAAAATCAATTTTTTTTAGAATATTCCTATTATTTAATTAATTTTTATAAATGTGATTTTTTTTTTATTTTTTTTAATAAAATTATTAAAGTTTATCTATTTTTCAAATCATTAAAATAATCGATTCTCTGTAAGCTTCTTATATTTAGAATTTATTCTTTGTAAATTTAAAATTTGTATCGAATTTTATTAAATATAATATTCTAAGTAAAATATAAATTTTATATACAAATTATTTTTATTTTTATTAAATAAATTTTCTTTTAGAAAATAACATAATTAATATTTTAATAAACACTAATAATATAATTTATTGTAAATATAATTATTATTTTTAAATATTTTAATTAATAATTTTAAAATAGAATATAAAAAAAATATTTAAATATTTTATTTAGTTATTGTTAATTATATTATGAAATTAAAACCTATAATAAAATAGCATAGTCCTTTTAGCGATTTTTAAATTTTATGTAAATTAAGATAATGTCCTTTTTCAAGAGTATATATAGTGCAAAGATATAAAGATATAATATAAAATATGCAATGAATAAAACTAATATGAATTAACCTTATAACTTCGAATAGCATAGAAATTGAATTAAAAGAAATTAAAATGCAGTTGGTATTTATTATATGTTCTACTTCCTATTTTCTTTAAAAGTCATTTTTTTTTAAATATTTTACTTTAAAATTTATATATTTTTTCATAAAATATATATTAAAAATAGAAGGCTTATGAAGTAAAATAAAATATTTTTTATAAAATTAATGTTTGTATGCAAAAATTAAAAATAAATTATACAATTTTTTAAATAATGACTTTTCAACATTTTTTTTTAAATTTAGTAGTTCTTCTATTTTGAGTATATGATACTAGCATCTTTAAAAAGCTAATATATAATATATTAACGGAAATCAGTTATCGATTTATAAACATAAACTTTATGTATAATAATAAAATTATACGTGTGAGGTGGATTAAATAAATTAATAAATGAAAAGTAAAATTATATAAAAGAATTAAAATATAAAATATTAAATTATAATTTTCAAATAATTTCTATGCTATTTTGTCGTATAAAAATAATATAATACATAGTGATATTAAAGTTCTAAACATATTTATATTTGAAAAAGAATGTATCAAGATTAAAGATTCAAACACTTTAAAAATAATCAATAATCCAATTTAAAATAATACTAAAATTAGAATTTCTTTATTTATTATTTGAAAATTGGAATAATCGATATGCTTATTATTAAAAAAGTGATATTTTATTTTTTTGGATACCCTATTTATTATTCATTTGCTTTTGAGCATCGTTTTAATTGCGAATCTTTAGATAATATATCTTAAATATTTTTTAAGGGATTTATAATCGGAATATTGAAATATGCTCAGAATTACTCAATAGTTTTATTATTAAATGTTTATGTATTAATCCATTGAAAATGGTTAAGGCTGGATATATATTCGAAATTTTAAAAAATTTTAAAACAACAACTAAAATTAAAATAATTGTTATTTTCCTTTAGAATAAAAATATTTGATATCAAAATTAAAATTTATTTTATACGATTTAAATCTAATTATGAAATTATTCTTAAAAAATAAATTAGTATTTTTAAGGAATTTGTTGAATTGCTAAATCAAAATAATGATTAAAATAATTTATTAAACCTTGCTTAAAAGAAAAAAATTAGTTAAATAATGTTTCTACAAATGACAATAGATGTAAAATTCTTAATTAAAATTGTAAAAATTATGATTAATTTTTACAATATAGAAATATTAATTAAATTAAAAAAAAAAAATATTGCAAACAACTATACAAATAAAATTAAAATTATAAGTAAAAAATATGACTTGATAACATGAGAAGTAAACGCTATTAAAAATACAAAATAGTAAAAGAATTTAATAAGATAATTTAATAGATAAAAACTTATTTACAACTATGTAAATAATAACAACGGATAATCAAATTTTTATCAATAATTTATACAATAATAATAAATTAAATAAATGTAAATCAATTAATATTGTTTAATTTATAATTATAATTATTATAAACAATAAAATAAACATAATTTTATAGATAAAGTGTATACAAATCGTTTTAAAATAGAATATTTATAAAAATTTGAATTATTAAATAAATATTATTTAAATATAAGAAATATTAATAAATTTAAATGGTATTTAATTATTTATTACTTTCACCATAATTTGGAAAATAATGAGAGCAGGATAGCCAAAATTAAAACTATGAAAATTTTAAAATAAACACTTGTAGTAATTTCAGAAGGATAAATATCAAATACTTATGATAAAAAATTCATTGTTTTGATTCTTGATTCAGTGTAAGGAGGGAACCTACAATAGAGAGGATAAGCATTAAGAGTTCCAATGAATCCACTTTTATCAAGGACAGGTTTCATATGGGAGCAACTTTAAAATCCAAATTATCCATGTATTTTTCCATATCCAGAATTTCCTACTCCTCCAAAAGGTAGAGTGTGATTAATATAATGCATAACAGATTCATTAAAGGAAAGAGCTCCGCTAGAAGTTTGTTCAATTAACCTTTACTTATGTATTTTGTTTTCTCCATAATAATAAAGTGCTAAAGGTTTATCTTTGCTATTAATAAAATTTATAACTTCATCAAAATTTTTGTATGAAAATATAGGTAAAATAGGTCCAAAAATTTCGTCTTTCATGCAATCAGAATCTAGCTATGGATTAATAATAATAGTAGGCTAAACATATTTTTAATTAACATCAACTTCACCTCCATAGAACAATTTACCACCATGATTTTTGATCATATTTTGCATTCTTTTAGTGTGAAATTCATTTATCATTCTACAATAATCAGGTGAAGTTTTAGGGTCGTTTTAAGTCATTTCCAAAAGTACTTTTTTTAGCATTTCTAGGAATTTATCAAAAATAGAACTTTCTACATAAAGATAATCTGGAGCTATGCAAGTTTGACCTGAATTTTGTATTTTCCCTGATATTATTCTATATGCAGCTGTTTCTAAATTCGCACTTTTGTCCACTATTGTTGGACTTTTTCCTCCTAATTCTAGTATTACAGGAATTAAGTTCTCTGCTGCTGCTTTTGCTATTAAACGCCCTTTTTATGGAGAACCAGTAAATATTATATGATCCCAAGGATAAGAACATATTTCTTTTGATACTTCTATTTATCCTTCTATTACTCTATAGCAATCATTGTCTATTATTTTTTAATTTTTTTTAACTTTTTTATATTTTTTACCTAAATATTTTTCAATTAATTTTTTTATAACATTTGAACTGTAAGGTGCCATTTCAGATGGTTTTAATACTACACAGTTTCCTGAAGCTATGGAGTTTGCTGCCGGACCTACACAAGTGCTAAGAGGATAATTCCAAGCTCCTATTACTAACGATACCCCAAATGGTTCAGGAATAATGTAACTTTAACCTGGTCCAACGAGTAGGGATGTATCGACTTTTTACTTTTAAGACCACTTTTCAAAATTTTTTAATATAAATTATATTTCCATTATTGTAGGGGTTAAATTAAAAAGTTTAGATGTATCTTTATTTTTATACCCCATATCTTTTATGTTTGCATTTATAATTTCATCCTCCATCTCTTTTAAACCTGTGAGAAGGTTCTTTAATTATTATTTACGATATGATAAAGATAAAGTTTTTCCTGTTCTAAAAGAATTCTTTAAAGAATCTAATGTTGGTTATATAATCTTAGGATTATCTAGAATCATTTTTTAACTAAATCAAGTTTTTTTTGATTATATTATTTTTATAAAATTTTATTTTTTAAAGATATTAATATAAATAATATTAATAATATTTTTTATTTGTAAATAACATTAATTTAACAAATTTAAATATCGATTAAAAATATCTTTTTTAATATAATCTAATTTCTCTTTAAGTTACAATATACTTTTAGTAAATTTTATCATAATTTTTTATTTACATTTTTTTTTCAATTCATAAGAATTAAGATAAAAAAATACACTCAAAATATTAAGTTTTCTTTTTTTTAGTTTTGAATATAAAATATCTTTATTTTTTTATATTAATTAGTGAGAAATTAAGGCATAATTTCTAGAAAATATATTATTTATATAAAAATATTAAATAAATTTTAAATATGAAATTCTAAAATTAAAAAAAAAAATATTAAATTAAAATAATATGCAATTATATGAATAGCATAAAATCTATTGATAAGATTCCTAATGCTAAAATTCAGTTTTTTGAAATAAAAGAGAGAATAATACAAAGAAAAGTTTTTTCTAAGATAATTAGTAAAATTAAATATGTGTACACAAAAGAAATGTATTCTGAATTTTTTTGGAGGGTATTTACAAAGTTATAAATTATAGTTAAACTTTTTAAAAATAAAAGCTTTTTTCTGTTAGGCAGAATTTTACAAGAAAAAAAAAAAAGAAAAAATTATGAATATTTTTTTTTAAAAAACGAAAAAAATTATGAATATTCTTTTTAAAAACGAAAAAAAGAAATAAAAAAAAAAAATTATCTAAAGGCATATAAAAAAAAATTGGCATGTTTATTTAAATAATAAATTAAAAAAAGGCAAGCCCAGTCCAAAAATCAAATATTGGAAGAAAAATAGGCAATTCAATTTATTATATTAAGATAAATCAGTAACATTTATTAAATAATTATATTCTTTTATGAGATAATATAATACAAATTATAATATAAATATAATTAAATAACAATATTTATGAATTTTTTTAGTTAATATAAAAATTAATATTAAAAATATTATAATATTAAAATATAAATTATGTATTTATTTTATGTAAGTAAAAAATAATTTTAGGTAATATTTAAAAGAAATTATAAAAGAGATAAAAAAAAATTGAGGAGCTAGATTGAGGGTTATGATAAAAATTACATTATTTTCTGGCATAACTTTTGACAAAAAATGTTTAAATTTTATATAAGAATAAAAATAATTTAATTTTAAAAATATTATTTTATATAATAAATTCTTTTATAAATTAAAATTATTATATAATCTATAATTTTATATTTTTTAATTTCTTTTATTAAATTACGTTTATTTTTTGATAAAATTTAATATCATTTTACACTAAAAGAATTAAATTAAAAATAAAATTAATATTAATATTAAAAATTTTTTTACTTTTTTAAATTAAAAATTCCCCATACTTTATTCAATAATTAAAGAAATATATTCTTTAATACATTATCCGCTTTTAATATATATTAAAGGCTACTAATATTATTGATTATTGCCAGGTAATTATTAAAAAAGGTAATAATATCTGTCCTTCAATAACAAAAGTTAGAGGATAACAAAATTAGTTAAAACTTTGCATATTTATCATTTTTATATCACATATATATAATAAATTAAAGAGTTATATAACAATAATTATAATTCTTTAAACACAAGTTATAATAAAATTACAAATTAATAAAAAACTACAAATTTTATATTCTTGAGTATATTAAAAAAAATTACCATTTGAGTTATTTTAGTTAGACTTTGTTTCAATAAAAGCGATATTAAAATTTTTGTAGGTTTTTTAATACTTACATTTATATTTTTTTATATTTTCTTAAAATTAAGATAATATTAAAATTCTTTATTACATTTTTAATGATTCCAGTATATAAAGCTTTTATAAAAATACTATATTTTATATTTATTATTCTGAATAAAACCAGGAAGATTTTATTGTAAATTTAAATCATTGTTATTATAAAAAATATTTTTCTCTTTAAATATATATCTAAAATATTATATCTTTAATTAAATTTGTTGCATGTTTTTCTTTATATTTTAAGTAAAAATAATAATTTCCAATTTTACTTATATTTTTTTATTTTTCATTTAATCAAACGATTCTTTAGAAATTTTAAAATTAGCTAAAGTAAGGAAGTAAAATAATTATTGCTAAAGTAATGTTAATTGATTTAATATTAAAAATCATATAATTTTATGCATTCATTTTTAATAATCAAATTTGATTATAAATAGCTCTTGATCATTTATGTTCCTTACTCTCATTATTATTATTCATTATTCATTATTCATTATTTAAATTTTTATTTATTATTAAATTAATTTACTCATCATTACCTTTAAACCATATTTTCTCCAGTTATATAATTTTAACTTTTTTAATTTAATATAAATATAAAATCAATTAAATTTAAAGTATTCTTAGTAAGTTTAAAGTATAATTTTTATTTACATTTATTATAATTATTAAAAAAATTCAGTATATTTTTATTATTAAATTTATCTATTTTTTTTAATATAAAATATAATATAAGAAAAAAATTATAATTACTTTTGTAAAATTTCTTTCTCAGCCTGCCCAATATTTTTCGTATAACTATATCCTTTTTCCCTCTAAAATATTTTTCCATTTTTTTTTTGTAGGAAAAAATTAGGCAATAAGTATAGAGTATTTTTTTTAAATTTTGTTAAAATTAATTATATATTATTACATGAAATATATTAGTTAGAAAAAATAAATTATAAAACTGAATATTATTAATAATATAAATTAAATATTATTTCAAACATTATATTTAATAATATATGATTAATAAATACTTTTTTCATGTTTTAAATTTTTAAATGAGTTTAATTTATTATTAAAATATTCACATAAATTTAATATTATCGTTAAATAAAATATTTTTCGTTAATTTTAGGCTATAAAGTCTATATTTTAATTACTAAAAATCTTTTATTCTTTCTTTTAATGACAAATTTTAATTTTATTAACTGAAGCTCGATATTTTATCATCAGCTTTTTAAATTTCACAATCAATTAAAGCAACTGCAGCTGTGTTATCGAATCTCTATTTTGTTTTGAAAAAATAAGTTAACAATAATTATAATTCTAATAATTTACTTCTTAAATATTGCTTACTTTATCATAGATTAATATAAGTTTTTATCTTTTTTCAAAAAAATTTTCATATTTATTTTTGAATTATTTTTTTAATTCTAATATATTTAAGTATTTGTCATTAATTTTTTCTGAAAAAAAATTAAATTTTAAATTATTTTAAGAAAAAAAAAAAAAATTATATTTACAAGATAATTATTAACTGAGATTAGTAAGCTCTAAAAATACAATTAGACAAATTAATAAATTCTTCAGACTTTTTTATATATTAAATTATTATGTCTTGTTTATCAATTAATTATCTATACTAAATATTCCTTTAAGCTAATGGAATATCTTCAAATATTTCATCTAAATTTTTTAATAGCATTTAAGTATAAAATTCTTCTTCTTTTTTATTATTTAGAAATATATTACATTATGAAATAAAATCATCTCTAAAATATATTTTTATATAATAATTATATATTTTTTAAAAATTTGTGTATACTTTTATATGGCTTTTTAATTAAATTAATCTTAAATATAAGTTAATAATTCAACTAAATTTGATGTAGTTTACCACATAATAAAATTATCATAGTTAATTTAATTAGTCTTAAGGTCAACTAATTCATGTTCAATTGTATTTTCTAAATAAATTGTAGGTTTTTTCTATGGAAAATTTTATTCTAATTATAATCTAAGCTATATTTTTTATTCTGACTAAATTTTTAAAGTTATGATATATTCTTTTCTACCAATTTAACCTAAATCTACTAATGGTTTCACTTATTAAGTTTCGAAATACTATTTTAACTCTTTAATTTGACTATTGATTCTATTATAAAATAATTAATATTAATTTAAAAATAAATAAGTTTATTATTTATTACATTTTTTCTGATACATTTTAGTCAATTTATTTTTAATGTTCTTATTGAAATTTATTAACATAATTATTTGCTATTTTTGATTGAAAAATTTCGAAATTTTACTAATTATTATTCATATATATTTATAATTTTTATATTTTAATTTTCTATTTTTATGTATTTATATTTATTATTTATTTTTAATATATCTAATGACTTTTAAATTTACTTATTCAAATTTAATACTCTGATAATATGATAAAAATAATAGACATATATATATATTGAAATTTGTTTATTAAAAAAAAAATTAAGTAAAAGCAAAGGTAAAACAAATTTTATCAATTATAAAAAACATGTTATTTTAAAAAAATACTAAAATAAAATATAATACTAAAAATTAATAAAAAAACTTAGTATTTTTTTTTCTATTTTAAATCTTTTTGCTCAAACTGATTCTTCGTCAAGTTTTTAATATCCTTCTCCTTGCTTTTATTATTTCTATTATATATTATTGTCTTCGTTAATTAAATCATCTCCTCCTTAAACAACTTATTATTAGAACTAATCTAGTTATTTTTATTATTAAGAAAAAGGGCCTATAATTAATTCTCCTGATTATTATTATTAACTATAATTTTAAACTTATTGTTATTAATTTACTTATAAGTTTCCACCTATGGATATACCTCTTCCTTAGAATTCCCCTAAAGAATTATTGCTTTACTATTAATTATTAATATTTTATATTCCACCCTATTGTATAAAATTCGATTTACTTACAATTTTTCTTAAGAAGGAAATTTATTAAATTTGAGCAATTTTTTCATTTGATATTTTTAAAACCGTTCCATAAAATAATTTATTTTCAATATATCCTAATAAAACTGCACAAAGCATATCCAAAAATTAAAATTAGGTTAGGATTCCAAAAAAAAGAAAAATTGCTATGGGATAATACTTGTTTTTGATAACAAAAGGAAAGCATAAGAATTAACTTTAGGTTTCAGGATCTGCTAATGACCTTTATGTTATGTATAATAACATTATATTATATAATCCAAACGAAGGTATAATAAGGATATATTCAGAGAAAATTTAACTTATGAAAAATGCCAATAGTAAATAAAGTATTTAAATTAAAACATTTTTTAGTACAAAATCTAAGATAAAATAAACTGTCCCTAATGATTTTTCTAAAAGAATACATGTTTAATAAATACATAGTAGTCCTAATACAACCATAATGAAGCCATTTGAAACGAATTGTGTAAAAAATATTCTTTATATTTAAAAATTATAAAGAACTTAATAAGGTATGTCTAATAATACAAAAGATATACTAAATAAGAAAGTATCAATTAAATACACTAATACTGTTATTACAAATATTAGCTTTTTTATTTATGTAGTAAATTAATTTTTTTTGATTTTTTTAATAAAATAATTATTTTACTTTTGTACCAAAAGGAAGATTTTCAAACCATAATAAGACATCTTGAGCGAAATCTCTCGGCTAATTTATATTGTTATCCATTTTTATTAATTTTTTAATATAATATAAAAGATTAATTATATAATTCTTATAAATCTTAAATAAATAATATTTATATTAACAATTTTATTATTTAACTTAAAAAATAAAAAAATAATATAACTATTTTTTAAAAATAAACTAAAAAAAGTAATAAATAAAATGAGTGACTAAAAATCTAAATAAGAAACATAAACAAGTAAATTATTAAAAAATTTAATGATAAAAAAGAAATTCGCAAAAAAAAAATATTTATATTCAAAAACTTATTATAAAATTAAAAATTAATAAAATATAAAAAATTAAAATATATTTTTTTTATAAAAAGGCCGTTTACCTTCTTATTTGTAAGTTAATAATGTGCCATTGTTTACTTTTGATTTCAATTTTGATAGCTTAAAACAATATTTAGATAATTCAGCTTTAACTACAAACTAACACGCAGAAATAATAAATGCTTTATAAATGGAGGTTTAGCAAAAAGTATCGCATAAAGTAATTCCTGATTTATTTAATATTATCGGAGAAGGAGGTAAAATAATGGATACGTAATTTGCTTAAACAATAAAAAATTAAATGGGGAAAAGTGCAAAACCTGAAAATTCTGGAGATAATTTATAAAACTAAACAAATAAAATTTATAATAAATTAACTGGTTTAGGTTATGCAGTTGCTTATAATTATAATGTTTCCTAGGATATTTTACCTAAAATAAGTGCTTTATAAACTGAAATAGGCAAAAAAGCATTAAAAGATGACGTAAAAGAAAAAAACTAGAAAATTAAAGAAAAGTTAGTTAAAGATTTTGACGAAATGAAGAAATACTTTGAAAAAAAAATAGTTAATTTGGAAGCTAAATTAAATGATAAAATTAATACTTTCGAAGATAGAACTTAAAATATTGAAAAAAAAACTTTATGGAAAATTTAAGATTGTGAAGAAATGCTTAAAAAAAGAATTACTGAAGAATATGTTGATGATTCATGTATAGCTTTAGAAGAAAAATTAAAAAGAGATGTATATTTTTTTATTTTTTATATTTTTTAATTTTATTAAAGGTTTTTTCATTAATTTAAAATGATTCTGATAAAATTGAAAGAATAGAAGTTCAATTAAATTCAAAAATGAAATAAATTGAAGATTTATAATGTGAAAAATAAAAAAGCATAAAAAAATAATTAAAAGATTTAGAAGATTTGTAAAAAAAAATATAAATTGATAAATTAAAAAAAAAAAAAAATTAAGGGTAAACTAATCATATTTAAAAGGACAAATATTTGAAGATTTCAAGAAATTTAATAGTACAAATTTAACTGAATTATCTAAAAGACTTTACGAAGTTGAAAAAAAAAATGATTTAGCCGGATAATTAGAGAGATAAAATATAAGAATTAAATCTTTAGAAGATAAAATAAGTGACTTTGAAAAAGATATTATTTAAAAGTTACATGATATTTAAATATAATATAATAATTAAAGTAAATCCTATAAAATAAACGATAATTAATAATCATAAAATTCAAATATTGATCCCCATAAGATTTGTTAAATTGATTCAGATTTACAAAGAACAATGGAAGAAGTTAGAAAATAAAAACAATAAACAGATGAATTGAAAAATGTAAAAAAATTAATAAAAAGATATTTTAATTTAATTTTTTGAAAATTAAAAGAAAATATGCATCAAATTAGAAAATATTGATTTAAGTGTTTATGAGGCCGCTATGAATGCGATAAATGATAATGGTTCTTAAAATGTTTAGTAGGTATAAGTATAAGCAATGCCTAATAATGCTATTATAACTAATTTAGAATAGGAGTTAAAAAAAATTAATAAGAAACTAAAGACTTAGCTCGAAAATTAGAAAGCTTAAAAGATATTGAAAAAAGAATGTAAAGGATTTTGAAAGAATTCGATTTTAATTTAATTGTGAAATAGTTAAAAATTAAAGCAGAATAGGAAGATGTTATGAAAGACTTCGCTATTGTAGATACAAAATTAAATAATAATCAAGAATAAATTAATTACTGTAGGAAAGATATTGATAATTTAATTTTATTATATAAAAAACTTATATAGTCCCTATAAAATTAATCCTAAAATGAAAATTGTTCAATTATAACAACTAAAAAACTACATTCTATAAATAATTTAAATTGCCTTTCTTGTGGAATTCCTAAACATAACATTTAATAAGGTAGAACTACTGGTACTTTTAGAGCTGATTTAGGATAAAATACTCATGAATTATTAATTACTAAATCTAATAATTAATTTAAGACATAAAATTATATGGACTAAACTAAAATTCAAAGACCTTAAACTGCTTAGGGTAAATTTATAAATATTTATTATATATTATTATTTTTTAGTTAGAAATGATAATTAGAATTAATTTGGAAATTAAATTATTACTCAATAGAAAAAATAAGAAACTTAAAATGGAAAGAATTTTTTAAGACCTGAAAGTGCAAAGAAATGAAAGATATATATATATATTTTAAATAGATTTTTATTTTATAAACTTTTTATTTTAAAAAAAACTCAATCAAAAACAATTTTAGAATTCAATTTATGTTATAAATTAATTAATAATCTATATTTACAACAACAACAAAATGTTATCACTTAGTAAAAAAGTAAAATAAATATATTTTAAAATTATAATCTAATAATACTAATATTAAAATTTAAAAAATAAAAATTATAACTATTTTAGAATTTTAATTTATTATATTTTTTTAATATAAATAATATATAAACTTTATGAGTCCTGAATATAGGTCTATTTAAAATAATAAATAAATAAAATTTAGATTTAAAAATTATTACAAATTCAGTATTACATATACACATTTAATAAGTTAATAATAAGACACACAAGTTTTGCAAGAACTAAAACAATTAGTAGTTTCAATATAAGTATCTTTGAATAATCTCTAGCCATAAGTAGTATAATATTGAGTGTATTTAATACTATTAATACATTATAAAAATCCATATTAATAGCATTAGCAAATTGCTACTTCCAAATAAGTTACTTCATGACAATAAGAATGACAGTATTAATAGAAAAATAAATCAGTAATACAACTAGTACACATGTTTATATTAATAGAATAAAATGCTCTATAAGGAGAAATACAACTTCCTAAATAAATAAAAAAATAAAAATATAATAATTTATTTTTTGAATTATATATATTAAATATATTAATAAATAAATATATCATGTGTTTTGTAAAATGTATATGTAATTAATAATATTTTTTTTGTTGATCTAGTACACATTATAAATAAAATAAGTTTAGAAAATATTTTTAAATTATCTTTTCCTAAAATTTAATAATATAAAATAGTGTATTTTTACAAAATATATATTTTGAAATTAATTAACTATTTATTTTTATTTATAATTTAGTCAACAAAAAAAATATTATATTTAT